GTCCCGGGGGAGGGGATGCGGCGGGGACCGGGACCCACCTGCGCTTGCGGTTCTTGTGGCTCTGAAAGAGAAGGAGGCAGCGGGCGTCAAACCTCAGCTTGGAAGGGGTCCTGGGGTGGGGGTGGGGGCTTGCAAACACCCCGAGGGCTGCCCAGCACCCAAGCAGAGGCAGGAGGGTGCCACGGCGAGGGTGACACCTCGCAGGGGTTTACCATGAGGAAGGTGTAGTCATCTTCCTTGCGGTCCGACTGGAGCTGGCACGCTTCGTTGAGGAGCACCTGCTTCTCCTCCGCCAGCCGCTTCATCTTGCCCTCGACGAGGCCGTGCTTGCGCCGCGTCTCCTCCTGCAGCTGGGCCAGCAGCTCCGTCTCCTCGCTCCGCAGGAACTCGTGCAGCTTCTCGAACTCCCTCTTGATCTGAGCCTCCAGCCGCGCTGCTTCCACCTGCCCCGTGCGCGGGGACGTCAGCTGGGGTCCCCCCAAAACGCGCCGTCGGAGCCCTCCGAACGGCTTCAGCGCTCAGGGACTCACTGGGCTCCCACTGGGACCACGCTGCCCTCCCAGTATCAAAGCCCCATCACCCTGGTCCTTCCTCCCCTCCCCAGCATCGCTCTCCTCGCTCCGGGACGGGTGCAGCGCTCCAACCCGGAGCCAGACGCGTTCCCACATGGGGTGTGTGCATGAGGGTGTCAGGATCAGACCCACGCACCTGGTTGTGTTTGGAGATGGACTCGTAGGAGTGATGCACGGCGCCGAAATCCAACGCTTTACGCCGCAGGGAGGTCTCCATGTTCTCCAGCTTGGCCTGCAGGGAGGAGACGCCTTCAGGACCCTACGCCCAGGGTTTCCAGTGCGGGAAGACAGAATCACAGAATCACAGCATGGTCGGGGTGGGCAGGGACCTCTGTGGGTCACCCAGCCCAACCCCCTGCCCAAGCAGGGTCACCCAGAGCAGGGGGCACAGCACCGCGGCCAGGCGGGGCTGGAATATCTCCAGAGAAGGAGACTCCACAGCCCCTCTGGGCAGCCTGGGCCAGGGCTCCGTCACCCTCAGAGGGAAGAAGTTCTTCCTCGGGTTCAGC